TTTTGACAGACCTTGTGTGACACACCTTGCAATTCATGTTGCACAGCGATATTTACATAGCCATACCACGACCAAGCCATTTCTGTTTCGCTTTTTCAGCCAAATTCAGCCCATTCCACAGAGCCCACCGTTCGGACATGGAACAGGCAAGATTGATTTGGACTAGCCTTGATCTTCCACGGATCCTGAAAAACAGGAGATCCTTCTACTGATTTTTTGTGGATGGAGGATCAGCCAAAGGCCGGCTTTTTCAAGGTAGATCAAGGCAGCTTGTGCCTTGGCTTGTCGAAGGCAAATTTACTTCAGGCAGGTTTGGCATTAGCTAGAATTGATCATATCATTCTGTCCGTGCCTGTGCATTGTTGGACAGGTTTTGCCGAAACTGCTGGAGGATCCGTGATTCCCACTCATGTTTCTCTGGCGACTCATTTTCTACGGGTTCCGATCGCCAACAGGCAATGTGTGTTTCGCATCCCAAAGGAAAATTATGATTGGTCACCCCTTCAAAATTGGTCTCCGCTAGTCTGGCCAGGACCCGCTACCTGGCTGCAGGTTTATTTGAGGGCGCGGATAGAGTGTCGGTTGCCGCTTGAGTCGAGCAAGGGCCTCCTGTAGCAGGTCGAGCGACGTTCTAAAACCCCTGCGCTTGAAAGTAGTATTCGGGAGGAAATATCGTTTTCAAAATGTTGACTTTTCCCAGGTCGCGGAAGCGCCGCGCAAGGTTCGCGGAAGGGGTTTCTCAATTATGTACTCGCGGAAGCTTCGTGGAAGGGCCACGATTCAATCGCGAAAGCATGAAATTGTGGTTTTCCTTCACGCGCGGAAGCGAAAACACACTTCAATCCCCTTTCTCAATCCGCGGAAGCGACGCGGAAGCGATTCCCTCTTCAAACCTCTTGCGGAAGGAACCTTTCACCCCGCGCAAGGTCCGCGGAAGCCTTCGCGGAAGGGATTCGATATTTCTCTTCGGCCGCAACTGGGTTTAGAACACTGCTCAGGTGAAGTTGTAAATCCTTGTGAAACGGGACATTGCCTATGAGCTTACCTACTAATTAGTGGCATTAGCTGCTTTTCGGAGCTGTCTTCAAGGATTCACGGGATCTACATATTCTGACTTGTTTGCTTTGTTGCACTTCGGTTATGCTTAATGCGGCGCAAAAAAAGTGTGAGGCAGTGAGGCTGATTGTGTCATGCAGCTCCTTTTGACCGGCCAAAAGCCTTAAGCCAAGGAGAAGCTATTTCAGGCCCAGGAGAGGTTCAATCCCTCTGTGCTACTGGGGTGCCCTTTACATGTGATGGGCGAGAGTTCTAACGTTTGTCCTTTCAAACTTGACCCGCTTCACACTAAGCGCGGTTGTTGTCCTGATTGCAATCAGCAACTAGTAAGCAAACTTTCATGCGAGCAATCAGCATGGCTTGCCGGAAAGAGAGCTTCGTACTGGTAATAGACAAGCTCACAAAAGGGTTGATGTCGGGGTCTATCAATTCTCACGTGCAAGCTGCCGCTCTTTCTGGGCTGCCAAAGCTCTGAGGAAGAAGACCACCGGCAACAAGAGCACTGGCTATGAGAAGTGGCCCTGCGGCTCAGAGGGCATGCTTTCTTTGGCTGGACGTATCTGACGGAAGGCAACATGTGTGCAAGAAACCTGAGCTCCCAGGAGACGTGTTCTTATTGCACTTCAGAATTCAGCGGCATGTTATGTGATGGAGCAACTTCAGCATCACGGTCACCTCATCATGTTGTGGCTCTTGATATAAGCTTTGTATCGATGCGATGACAAACCTTCAAGGGCGCACGCCGCACGCTGTCGGCGTTGACAGTTTGAGGAGCATGAAAGCCCCTTTTGCAGGGCTGGGGTTACTTGATGCACGAACACGGTACTGTACAGCTTGCATTGATGCTTTTGGGCGCAAAGGGAACACGGACAGGCAGACAGGCGCCCATCACAACAGGTCAAATTCGAAAAACTCGATCAGCAGCTGGGCGCGATCATGTTCAATCTCGTGGTACATGTAATGCTAGCTCGAGGTGCATAAGAAGGAGCAGCTGGCCGTTGATGTAAATGTTGTTTTAACTTCATTACCATTGTCCATGCCAACCGCAAAGAGCTTTCTGCATTTTGCAATAGAGAAGTAAGTTATTAGTCAACTTGCCACAGCTACAACTATTTCAGCTGCAACCTTGCGTTCGATGCCGACAACACGATTTTGTGCCCCTTCTTCCACTCTTGGGGCATTGCCTCTTCAGCAGGTGGTTTCTTTCAGTGCAAAGTGTGTGAAGGTCAGCTGCCGTAACCGGGGCAATCGAGGCAAGCCTTCCTGGAACAGCCGCATTGGGACCCCTATAGTTCAGGGTTCGTTTGGTTGCGAGCCTGACGAGAAATTTGTGCTCCTGGTTTCTCTTAGTCAAGTGCCAAGTCGTGTCAACCCTTCCGTCTTTGGAGCCTCGACTCCTTGCCGCGAGCTGTTGCTATCCGGCTCGTGAGGTCGTGGAGCACGGCCGCAACGGACCAGGACTTTGACGACTTGATGGAGGTGGGATGTGTTTTTGTTCTCTTTTTTTTGTTTTTGTTCGCACGGTGGATGCCCTATATGTTGCACGTAGGGGTCAGTCATTTACCACCACGTGCCAGAGTTTAGCGGTTGGTGGGTCAATTGAAAACTTGAAATATTTGGGGGCATCCACTATGGGCCCCGGTTTTGACGGTTTGACCCTTCAGTGACCTGGGTGTGCTTCGGCGGTTGGCCTGACGTGTGAAGCCGGGAGCTTAAGGCCGGCAGCATCAAAGTGTGCCAACTGCAATGTGTGGTGCCGCTTCAGCAATGGTATTGTGGAGTGTCCGCGCAGCTCCCAAACTCCCTTGTAGGTGCAACATCACCTGAGCCACAATCAAAACCCGGGTAGATGAAGGTTAGTAAGGGACAATCCCAACCATAAATAGCTGCGGCCGCCTTCTTATTTCTTTACATGGTTCTGGGTAGACCATTTTAACACCAGGTTTTGATTGTGACTCACCTGAGCAGCGCCCAACATTTTACTGCCTGGTTTAACAAGGATTGTAGCAAGGCCTTAGAAGCAAAAACTCTGGCTCACTTTGTGTTTGATTCCCCAAAAGCAGCCGGCCAGCAGGAATCAGGATAGGTTAGCCTGTGCCCGTTGTCCTCATGATTCAAATCATTGGGACCACCTCTCTTGGTGGCTCGCAGCCATCCCCTTAGCTTTTTCGGTTTTTAGTGTTTAGTGGGGTTTTCCATTTAGCCCACTAAACGTTAAACTTTTAGCGGGGGATCTGAGGACAGCCCAGCTCTCAAACAATGGATAATGGAAGCCGATGGAATTGGTACTTAGCTTACCAACGAAGGCTTCATACTCGGATTCGGAATCCGTATCTCCAGCTTGTCAATGTAGTTTGCCCACTCAAGTCAATTACATTTGAGTTCTGCCGTTTTTTTCAGTGCAGCAGTCGCCAATTTGATTACGGGAAAAACGAGGCTATTGATACCCAGTCGTGCTAAATTGGTAGTCCTTGTTTGTTGAATCCTGTGATAGTCTTGGTTGCTGCCGATTTGGCGTGTCTTTTTTGAGGGTACCCAATTGTCGTGGTGGTTGACGAGGCAGCCAAAAGGGAAACTACAAATTATCTATTTATCTTGTTGGGAGAACCAGCCCCTTTGCCATGAGTCAGCTCCCTGCCCTAGTTGCCTCTCAGATATCCACCGCGCCTGCAGTGGGACGCCGTTCCCTTGTGAGACACGGCGTCTAGTTGATTTTTTCTAAGCACTTGGCCCCATGGCAGGTTAGTTTTCCTCTTGGGGTGCCGGACATCTCGGAAGTGTTGACCTTGCAACGCGTTCTTCCAACCCGCCAGGCGCTTCCGGAGGACCGACGAAGGGCTGACCATCCGTTAAATATGGCGATCCATGGCATTTGCCGAGCAAAAGCGGCAAGTTGCCACGGGATTCCTGGGACCTCCTTGCAAGAGTTCGGGCAACCGGATCCCAACCACGGTCCATGACATGGTTTTCAGAGAGGATGCATCTTCCCTGTAACCTCCTGGATAAACTCAAAGATTCAAAGGGCACTGTCCAAAGTCCCACTGTTTCGCTTTGATCATCCATGTTGCAGTGCCTCTAAATTAGGGAACGCATGGGTGTCCCTTCGAAGCATATTCTCAAAGAAGACACCAATTTAGAGGAATGCGCACTGCAAAACCCCGGATGCTTGACTTTCGGGTATGGCAGTCGTCTTTTGACTATTACTTGAAGATTCCGACAGCTTTCTCGAGCCCGGGGATCAACTGCCAGCTCTGGCCTTGTGAATATCCGTCAATGTGTCGAATGGGAGCATGGTCATTTCTTAGGAATCCTCTGGGGAACCAATGTCATCCAATCCAAGCATTCGGAAGAGAACGGACTGCGACCAGCCCGGCTGGCCTTTTGCCTTTTGACGGCGCGCGTGTTTCTTGCGTTCAAAGCTTGGCAGGACTTGGAGCAGGAGCAGCTTGGCTCTGTGTCTTTGTTTTTTCAGACGAACCATTTTGGGGTTGGTTTTAAAGGGAAGCCACGAGAAACTCGTATTTTGGGATCCCCTATCTGAAGGGATCCCGGACGGATGCTGCTGGTCAGGTGCAGCGATTTCGCATGCTTGTCTCGGCCCGGCAGCGAGGTAACAAGTTGAGCCGACATATAACGAGTCCGTCTTGCCTATGCCCCGAGCCAAAGATACCAATCTGACTCCAAGTCCACACTTTTGACTGCATGAGGGGGGAGAGTCTGGGCCTAGTCCGAAGAATAAAGCTTCAATCCAAGGGCACGTGTTCAATAGTTTGGCCTTTAAAGAGAAGAACCACCAAAACGGAAAGGCGCCGGCTGTTGTGCGTAGCTTGCATGGCTCCAAGGCCCAGGAAGAAACAGGACTTGGAGCAGCAACGGGTCAGGGAGCAGCTCGAGAAAGAGCGCCAGCAATTGGTGACTTGGCCCACCATGCGGCCGCTGATTTTTCACCTTTTTTTGGTTGGTGTTCAAGGAAAACCCAAGGGAAGCCGGAAACCACCATTTGGGGTGGGTGGGGGGTGGGGCTATTTTTCAGACACACTCACAAGCGAGGTTTCGGGGCCGCCCGCAAAAGCGGGCCTAGCTTGGGGGTCGCTCACAGGAGGAGATCCGAAAGGAGCACCTGCGCAAGGAGCAAGAGTTGCTGAAGGAGCGTCAGCATTTGGAGGAGCTCAAGCGCAGCTCGGAAGGCAGCTGTAAGCAGACGGATGGCGAGTGGCGGGCAGATGAAAAAAGGAATCTCTTGCCCCTAACAATGCATGTGAGATTTGGGCTCTGGGAAAGTAAGGGTTATAAATCCTGGAGGCCCAATTGATACAGAAATGTGTGCTCGAACCGTTTGCCGAAAAATGCGCCCGAATCAAATTGGGTGCAAATGACATGGCTCCTGTGTGACGTATGCAACATCATGGGCCAACCTTTAGGCAACACTGCCATGACCGGATGTTCCTGAAGCTCACATCAAACTTTGTCCAAGCGACAAACGAACATCAAGCCATGAGAGGGGAATCCATGAGTCTCAAGTCAGGATCATGTTGCCATTTCTGGCCCACAACATTCTTGGTCCACAAATGAGTGGCCATGAGAGCGAGCACACTATTGGATAAGCCTTTGTTGCAAAGTGACACCATTGACATAGAGCACCTGCTCTGCTCCTTTTGCACCCCTTTGAAGCTGTAAATGTAGCACATCTAGCAAACGTGTTGCTAAGGCCATAGTGCCTTATGCGCTCGTGAAAGAGCAAGATACTGTAATATATCCATTATTTTCTTTAGTGGTGACAAACAAAGGTTGCTTCAACATAGTAAATCACTTCATCACAACAGAGCTGAATCGCCAACATTCAGGCAAGCGGTTAACTTCCCTTATTGCTGAACATGCTGGGTGAATCAGCATAGCTGCGCCTGAGCCAAACTGCCTGAAGTCGAATGCATTCGAGCCTACCCTAGGCACAAACTTATATTACTGAAGTGCTGCGCATATCAGCCGAGACTTCTTGAATGATTGGCAATCAAAGCAATAAGTCATCAACCCTTCGAGGACATGGACATTACAATTCTCTGCACAAAAGTTGACACTGGCGCATGAACACACGATTCAGCGATGTGCGACCGTGCTGATCGGCTGATTGGATAATCTACAAGTAGGGTCCGGCAGAGCCCGGGGGCGGAAGTTTCAAAGCAGTGAGGAACTATAGTTTGGAGAACTGTTCTTTGTTGCCTCTCTCTCTCTCTCTCTCTTCCTCTCTCTCTCTCTCTCTGTCTTTCCCTCTCTCTCTCCTTCTCTGTTCTCTTTGTCTTTTTTTTCCTCTCTCTCTCTCACTCTCTCTTTTGGTCTTGTGTGCTGTTTTCTGCTGTTGTTCTGTTCCTTTTCCAAGCTCTCATCCCAGTACACCAAAGCAAAAAACAACAACGAGGGCTTCAGACGCCTTCTCTTTGCATTGGCTCAAGCCGTGCTGTTGGGCTGGCGCGGCCCAACAGGGCACGCGCCGACACGAACACGCGGCCCGAAACGGCACGGTCAAGCACGAAAGCTGGGCGAGGTCAAAGCCTCTTTTACTCTGGCAACCTTAGTCAACGGAGTCGTTGCCATGGCATCTTCTTGCAGGCGCTTGAGCTCAATGCTGGGCTGCGAGTCCAAGGAAAGCTGCCACGCGCGCTTCAAACAAAGATTCAGGCAAAGGCTTCTGCAAGCTCTGCAAATACTCGGCTCGATCTTTGAACACCGCGATAAAGTCAGCTGCCGCTGCAGCGCCGGCCAAAAGGCCAAGCGCTCGCCCTCGCCTCCCACTCGGCCAGCTCGTCTTTTTGCGCCTGTGAAGCTTTGGGATGCTGCGGCATGCTGCGGCGCATGAATTGTGACCGAACTTGGGTTCTTTGTCCCTATTTACTGCGCTTCAAGACAGGCTTGTAAAGACGGCTTGCGCAGTGCCTGAAAAACCCTGCACACCACTCAGGCAAGGCTGTGCACTCGGCAAACTGTGCTGCATCTGCTGCGTGCTCCCGCAAGACACGCAACCAAGCCTCCCAGGCCCGGAGCTCGCACTCTTCGCTGCACGAAACGGGATGGCCGGCTTGCCTCGCCTAGCTTCGCCCGCGCGTAAAGGCGCTGCAATGTCTGGGCACTGCAGCTGTCGCAGCTCCTTGGTGTTGGTGGCCAGGTAAGCCAACAGGAGCTGCAAGCCATCCTGACTCGCATTGCCCCCTTCGCGGGCCGTGGCGCGCGCAGCCGGCCGAAGCACTAAGCCGCCCTAGCCGGCGGGTGCGGAGAAGCCAGACACTATGGTGAACAAGATCTAACAAATTCCAGACTCGCTACATGCCTGCTTTTGCTGTTGTGCATGTGTGGTTGGTGTGAAGCGTGTATAGTACCCCCCCTGAGAGACTGCTTGCGTCTTGTGACTCTGTGTTTTGATTCTGTGTTCAAAAGCTCACGTGGGACTGCTTGACTATCTCGGGTACCCTTTAGCGCTGTAGTTAGTTGCTGTGTTGGGAAGTGTGTGGTGAGTTGTAGGTGTGCCACATGCTCAAAGCACGACTTCCTTCGAGCCGCGCAAACAGAAAGAACAGATGGTGATCTATGGTTTTTTAATCCGGAATCTGTCTATCTACAGTCACTGCCCAATCCATCATGGCCCAATCGAACCCTTTTAAAGCCGACGACTTTCCTAGTACTGAACCCTTCAGTGACTCTCCGTGTACCTATTTTTGGGATTATCCAGGTTTTTCTAGTTTTAGAATCACTGTCAAAGTTTACTGATCAAGTGCGTAGTTCGGGATACACTCACCAAAGTCCCAAAGTCAACATTGATTATTGCCGCCTTCCAAATGTCATCTGCAGCGGGAAATGAATCCCTGCAACCGGGAGCAGCCTGAGAGATCGAAAGGTGTCCTGCCTGCGTCCAACCCTCTTCAGTACTTAGCTTGCTGTTGCGAAGCTCGTTCACAGCTGAACTCCACTGCAGGGATTGTCACGCCTAACGACACCTCAGGAGTAAACGCAATCAAAGACTAGCAGTCAGACTGTCAACCCCCCCAACCTGAGCCGCCAACAAGTAGTGACAGTTTTTCTCCGCTTAGGAGAGCAAATGCGCCAGCTGGAGCAGCAAAAGAGGGAGGAGATGCAGAGGTTGCAACTCAGTTTAGCTAGCAGCATAAGATTTCATTTCGTCTATTGGCTGTGTTGGATGGATGGGGACAACACTGACGTGTTTCAGCGATACATCCCATTCAGGCAGACTGGCCATTCACTTAGGAAAACCTGATCTGATGGATGTTGGTTGTCCCAGAATGGGGGCTGTTTGTTATCCTGGTTGTTTCTCCCCTGGGCCCTCAACTTGTGGGCACACCCAAAAAGGAACCTAAAGCGACGAGTTGAAGGCCAAGCTGCGGCAATGGGTGCCCGAACGAGTGGATGGTTTGCAGATCTGGCGCCACGAACCGGGGTTGGAGAGGGAGGTTGAGGCGACTGGGTTTTAGAGCATTCTATTCAGATTTGAGCTGATGTCCTCCCCGGCTGTGGGGCAGGGTCCTGGGGTATTGATTCCTCGATATCTCAGAAGAAGCCGCGCAGATACTGTTCACAGAACTTGCTTCCAACTGACCCAGGCAGATTCAACAGCCACAATGAATGTATGTCTGTGATTGATGCAGTTTCTGCAACTTACGTGTTTTCAACTTGGTGTTTTGCAGTTCTGCTTGGGACCCCTGTGTGGTCCTTGAAAACTGTCACGCTGTGCCAGCTGAAGCTTGATATATTGGTTGACGACGCGCAACTATTGTCATACGTTGTTCTGATGGGCCGGGACACGTGAACTTGAAGTGGTTGTTGCTGAATATGAGCGTGTGTGTTTCATCTCTACTCCGTCCCGGCAAAGGCAGCAGGAGCAGTTGCGCCAGCAGCAGATGCAACAGGAGCAGTTGCGCCAGCAGCAGTTGCAGCAGGAGCAGTTGCGCCAGCAGCAGATCCAGAAAGAGAAGCTTCTCCAGCAACAGATGCAGCAAGAGCAGATGCGACAGCAGCAGATGCAGCAGGAACAGTTGCGCCAGCAGCAGATGCAGCAGATGCAGCAGAGGCAGCAAGAGCAGTTGCGGCAGCAGCAGATGCAGCAGATGCAGCAGGAACAGATGCGTCAACAACAGATGCAGCAAATGCAGCAGGAGCAGATCCGCCAACAGCAGATGCAAGCTCAGCAGTTGCAGATGCAGCAGCTGCAGATGCAGGGCCAGCTTGGTGGGCAGGCGCATCAGTTCAGGGCTTGCATAGATGCCCTGCGAGCTACCAACTCATTTGGCTAAGGCTCTTTGATGCTCTCTGCTTTGTGATTCAGGGCACGGTCTGCCCAAAAACTCACTGAAATCTCTGAGTCAACTCGGCTACCTGGGAAGGCAACATGTGTTGGTACCCAAGGCGGCCAATGCCACGTGCTCGATTGCCTGGTTGAGTCACGGATGGACTGCCCAGAGCTGCTTCCAGTTTTCCTTGCTGTCCTGCAACACTGCAAAGCTGTGTGCCTTAAAGAAGAAGCTGCCGGCAAATGAGTTGGGCTACTTGTTTGCATATGATGTGGCATGTGATCAGTACAGTAGAGCTTGGATTTGCTGCCCGAACTTCATGTTGGCTCGCTGTCTTTTCAGCATCAACCAGATGGTTGAAATGAATCATCTCTCTCTTCTCTCCCATGGCAAGGATGTGCCCCCACAAGCAGAAAGACAAAGACCCCAGCCATCTTGCCAGGTGCAGGTGGTGCCCGTGATGGTTCAGATGATCGGCCAGCCTGGCGGCCCAAGTCCCCAAAGAACCAATGCGGGCCCGAAATTATCCAAAAAATAAGTGAGAGAACTGAGAGAACACATAGGACCAGTGGCCCGCTCCTTTGCGGCCAGAAACAGCACAGATTGAATCACTGTGTCATGTTTTTGGTGCAAACAATTCAGCTCTTCAATATATGCCGGGTTTAGTATTTGGGAGGGCCGGTTTCAGTCTCTGGAATCAGGGATGTGGATGCAACGAATACAGGTAGCCTAGAGCCACAGGACCGAGCTGTTTCCTTGAGGGAGACTGCTCCACAAAATACACATGGCTACCTAGACAGTGATTGAAAGGCGAGGGGTAGAAACGTGACATGTCCGAAATGAGAAAAAGGCCCAACTCTGGCCGAACATGATCACGTCTTCTGCAAGCGATGGATACATCGTGACAGCCCATGGCTTGGGCACCGCACTTGAGTCACTTGAGTCTTGTGGCCAACAAACAGTTTTTGTTGGAACCAATCGGAATGACATTGCCAAGATGCTACATTCCTCTCGACTCAAAGGCAGCCTTTCTGCGGGCACCCTGTAGGTTTACAGGCACCTAGGATTCATTTTGTTGACCTGAGGTGAATGACCTTCAAATGTTCGCGCTTGTTTTTGTGATTGCCCATTGAAGAAACCGGTAACAGTAAAGCTCAATCAGTGGCAAAGAGGTCACTGATTTCAGAGGTAGGGCTGTTTAACTGTTACGACACGCACACACATACACATGAATACACATAAATACACAGAAACACGGCATCCGTCCGTGAAGAAATCGGAGGTTCATAGATGTACTGTTCATCCTTGCCGAACAATACTGCATTTACTGACATGTGTTGTGTGGCCGAATTTCTATACATTACGCAGGCATTCTGAAAACGGTCCGCTGCCCACTTCCAGGTCTGTTGAATATGAGCTGAACCGTGCAGTAAAGCCAGCCTTGTTTGTCATCGCGTTTGACATGTGACGCTTGACAATACACAACGAAGAGGAAAGTAGCGTGAACAGAGCCGAGCTGTAGAGAAACTGCTGCCACGTACAAGACTCTGGCGTCGAATCAGTAAACGCTGGGCCTTGCCGCTATTTTAACATTGTTGATTTGAATTCCGTGCCGTCCCGCTGGGATGGATGATGCCCTATACGCAACTGCCAACTGGAGCAGGATCTCGTTCATCCACAGCAGTTCCTTTTTGGGAATCACCGCCTTTGACCTTTGCGGTGGCAGTTGCTCCATCCAGTTCGCTGGTTTCTGTTGGGGAATCCGTGTTTTGGGGGTTCCGATTCTGGAGCCGAGCTGTTTTCAGGTTCCCCTCAGTTGACTTTTAGACTGATGGTTTGGGATAAATGAGAAGCTACCCCCTAACTTCCAAACCATACCAAAACGCCAGTTAGGGGGAAGCTGATGTTTGGTTCCCCGTTCCAACAAATTGCCGCAGGGAGGCGAACCGCTCCGCAAGCACCACAGCCTCGGAGAAGGACGAGAGCGAGGAGAAGCTGGCCGCACCTCCCTCAGACTCGGATCGGAGAATTGCAAACCTGGTGCCGGACATGAGATCCGTCTTGAAGGGCCTTAGAGTCCAAAACGAGCACCCTGCGTCTTCATGGAGTCCAAAAGGCGTGGAGAGGGGAGCGGAAATGTGCAGATGGTTTGGAGAGGGAAGTTTTGAAGGGCCTCTTGGAGCTTGTCAATGTTCGACATTTGAAGCGGAGTAAACCGCAAAACAATTTTGGCCGTCGTGGCGACATCAGCACTGTGTTCGGTGTTTGCAAGTTTGAACTGCCTGATCAAAGGTCCAATTGGCCATTTGAATTGCTGCTACCGAGAGAGGGGGGATTTGTCAAGTGTGTGTGTGTGTGTCTATGTGTCTGTGTGTCAGTGTGTCAGTGTGTCAGTGTGTCAGTGTGTCTGTGTGTCTGTGTGTCTGTGTGTCTGTGGGTCTGTGTGTTTGTGCGTCTGTGTGTGTCTGTGTGTTTCTTCGTGCGTGTGTGCGTGTTTCTTTGTGTCTACGTCTGCATCTGTGTTTGTGTGTGTGTGTGTGTCTGATTGTGTCTGCGGGTATACGCGCTGTTCACTCTCATTCAAGCAGGTCATTGAGATCGCCAATTGCCTCCCTCCGGCCCTGGAAGCTTCTCCACAAGGCTTGTCTTCCCAACTCCACTAGAGCTTTGTTGCTAACACTCGTTTGTGTGGGAAACAGCAATCTGGCAGCCGCGATAGGTCAGATTCAAGTCTTTTGCAACATGGATGTCTTGTTATATGCTAGATTGTCAGCCTTGACCTTTCCTGTGGAAGCTACAGGCAGCTTCAGCCATCCTCATCATTGCACGGCGAGCTCACCGATCATGGTGTGAAACGAGCTCACCATGATGTAGTGCTTTGCTTGGGGTCACGCAGTGGCCGCCTGCCTTGCCCTGCCATTTTTCCGTCACTCCGAGGTGGTGCCTGTGAGCAGCTCGGGACAAGGAGCGCATGTGAAAGGCAGTGTCTCTGACTCATGGACTCCTCGCAAGGGTTACGGGGGGACTGTCTCCCCTATAACCCCCCTTGGGGGTTCATGAACTAGTGTTGCGGTTGTAGTCACATAATCATGCATCAGGGTGTTCTTTGTGTACGAGTTATATTTTTTTCCATCCTAGGTGATGTAGGACGGTGTCTATCAGCAGTATGATTTAGGCATCACAAGCTCAACGGTGCAAACGCCGAACATGAGAAGTGCAGCAACTGCCATGTTGAGGCATGACGAGGGCATTTGCAGCGCAGAGTTCAGGGACATGATTGTGGCATAAACAGATCCACGCAAATCGCGCCCCCTCCTTGTGCTTGTAGGAAAGTGCGTGCACTTTGGGCTTCATGGGCCTTCAAAGCAACGCATGTCGTCAGCACAAGCCTGAACCAGATCCTTTTGCGCCTGAAAGACCGCCCGCCGCTTTCGGTGGGTGTGAGCCCCATGGAGCACAGCAATCCTCGCATGTTCCCAGAGTTTGTTGCCAATCCTTGCAGTCCGTGTACCAAAACATGCCGCAGGACCTATCTTTGGATCTCAGCACCACTTTCACCAGAAGAACGTCACTATGGGTGTGCCATGCTCAGCTCGACCTGGAGGATGGGAAGAAGCACAAGCTTTATCAAGAGGGGCGCAGTGGTCTAGTCTTCGGCCCACAAGGGTGGGTCGTGGTGACTTGAGTGAAAAGGCCTGTGCCGCACAATCATGCTCATAGGTTGCAAACGGTTGGAGAGAGACAAAGAAGAAGGGACCAGGTTATTGAAGTGTTAAATGTCTATTCGGACAACAGTTGGATGACCAGCCAGTTCAAACAGCAGTTGCTGCCTCCAAGCCTGCTCTTTGCTCGAAGCCTGTCCGCAGTTGTTTACCCAACATGGTTGTAAAGCGCCCAAAACCCTTCCTGGCCGTTTAGGTTTAACTTCACTGATTTCATGGGAGTCATAGCAACGTAGTACGGCCTACATAAACCTGCACCATTGGGTATATGGTGATTTACCCGAGAGTCTCCATCCTACATCCGAGCTTTCGAACCATAAATTCATCTTGGGAAACTCGGCTTTCTCGCTCATGAGGTGCTCTCTGCGGATGCGCGCACCTTCACGAAGAATGCCAACAAGGCCGCAAACGGGAGTGTGTCAAAACTTACTATAAGGTATCGTCTTGGGAGAACATGTGTCTACATTTGATATTATTCCAAAGGCATGTTTTGAGGTTTTGGCTTGTATGGCCACAGGTCAGAGGTCAGGTCATCTTGGATGTGGCAAGCAGCTGAGGGCCTGCCACCTGCATGTGTTCCAGGCGAAGAGGAATGGGGAGCCCCCCCAGGAGTCTATGATTGTAGGAACGATCTTTTCGTGCGCCGGGTCCAGTTCATGACAACTCACGTGGCTTTGCTGCACGGGTCTGGCATCCAAATCTAGGATGTTCTGTCGTGGACTTGTACTGGAGGATGTTGCTACTGCAGCCAAGCAACCAGACATGCAATGCCCAGAAAGCCGCCAGGATGGTCCAGTGCTTCTTTCAGTCTGTCAAGTTCATTGTCAAAATCCAGGACCCTTGTTGCTTCGATATAAAAGGAATGTCTGTACTGGGGGCATGTATCAAGAATGACGTTGTACAGTTTGCGGAGCTCGTGCACCGTATCCATACGGGGTTCGCTCAAGAGGCGTAAAATCCAATTTGCCAAGTTTTTGCCAAGCCTACCAAGAATTGAAGGTGCTTACTCGCGACGAAGGTCCTTCACTTGATTCTCTTATTTCAGGTCTAGGATGCTTTAGATGATTAGATGGGGATGGTGCCATGGAGTGTACGAAATGTCCGAGTATTCGCCGTACGAAAAGGGAGCAGCCTTTGCCTCGCGCAGGGCAGGCTGAGCATCGTTTGCGAAAACCGCGTGCACTTCAAGGGAGTGGTGCGATATGCAGTGACTTTGGCAGTCACAGAGAGCTGTCACACACCTCCCAAGTAGTAGGAGGTGCGCTTCCCACCTCCGTGGTTTTCCCAGGGTGGGGAGCGGAAGGCAGGGCCCCGAAGTGATCCTTGTTGGCTTGTATCAAATCCAGCATGAGCCAACGAATGAGTCAGTGGGATCCCTATGTCTAACTGGCCTGGTAGTAACTGGTAGTACAAGGTCAGTTATCGAGTGGGCGAGAATCATTCCATTTCAGCTGTTCCTACTCAGTTCCTTGTAAACGATTGAGAGGAACAGCAATGGATATGGGTTTGTCCTTTTTTGGTGTGTTGAGTTGCTTCAAAAGGCAGAAGGTGGGACCTCCCCGAATCATACCCCCGAATCATACCCCCGAATCATACCCCCGAATCATACCCCCGAATCATACCCCGAATCATACCCCCGAATCATACCCCTTAAAACGTATGCTGCAAGATGCTACTGTTCTTCTACCGTTTTGTGTTGTTCACTGCCTCCACAACAACCACCACCAGCGCTACCCACTACTACTACGACTACTACCACTACTACTACGACTACTACTACTCCAATTTCCACTTCCACTACTACTGCTACTACAACTTCTACTACTACTGCTACTACCGCGACTACGAGTACTACTACCACTACCACCGCTACTACCGCTGCTACTACTACTCTACTGCTTCTACTTCTGCTTCTGCTCCCGCGAATCATACCTGCGAATCATACCCCGTACTCAAACCTTCCTGCCCGGCCCCCGTAAAAAATACAAACCCATATGTGCGCGCAGAGTACCCTTGACACTTGTTGTTCTCGATTTGTTTTCAAGGTAAGCTCGCGTGATTTGAAAAGATTGACTGCTTCTTGAGTTCGGTCATTGCTGTTTGTTAGATGTGTTATTCCACAAATTCAATTCAACGAAAACTCTTGCACACCCACACACACACACAGACACGGACAGGGGCACACACGCACACACAGTCCTACACACACACAGTCGCACACACAAACACACCCTCCTCCACGCTCACACCACGCAGTCACACACACACTGTCGCACACACACACACACAGACACACAAACACACAGGGCATTCCCAGTACATAATCGATCTCCACAAGCGAGGTTCATGTGAACATCCCATACAACACACTTCAACAAGGGAATTCCGCAAGGCAGGATTTGCAAGCAGCAAAGCGAGCAAGTGCCTAATGATAACTTCTTGACGGTGGCATGGTGGAACGATGTAATGACTGAAAAAGTGCATTGATGAATGTGTGTGCAGTGCTGGAGTGAACTTACACATCCACTTGGGGCCGACTGTACATAGTCGATCATGCACCAGCAGAACCGCGGTTGATTTGTGTGCAGAATCCTTGAAAGACCAGAAACATCTTTGAATCTTTACCACACTGGTTCAGACCCTTGTTTTGCCGCTGCTTTGCATGGGGTATCTTCTGCTAGCTGCCCTTGTTGGCAGTGTTGGAAGTCTGACAGTGTTAAAACTGTGGCAGGTTGGCAGTTTGGCAGTGGTTTGACAAGTCTTGCAGTGTTGAAGTTGGGCCTCAGTGTTGCAAAGTGGATTGCAGTTTTGCCTTGCCGTGTTGGATTTGGCAGTTGTCGGGGTCCCGAGGGAGATACCATTGGGCCGGAGGGGGGGGGTTCAGGACCAAGGAACCTGAAACCGGGAGCATATTTCGGTCCAAAACGGACCGGGCCAGCTTTGTGACAACAACCCAGCTGTTTATTCTGACTGAGGTCCAGTTCACTGAGGGCGAGCTCTGCAGCGCCGATGGCGTTCCTTGCCATTCGAACGGCTGCCAACAAAACGGGCCATCCAAGCAACCGCTGACTCGGGAGCAGGGATGGTCACGTGCCCGGAATGAAGACAACGAATGTAAAGGTTCCGGTGGCTAGTTTGCCAGCAGCCGACGAACAGACAGATCTCCCATGATCTTCCGATGCAAATCCAACCACAGTAAATATTAGTAGTTGGGTTCTTGAATGGCTTCATAAGTTGATGGCACGGCTGCAATGGGTGCAACGATGTTAGGTCGCTCCATTCAAATGTTGCGTTGCATTCGGGGAACTGAATCTGGAAATGGTGATTGACGGTAGAGCTTTCGGGCGAGAACTTTCGGGCCACGTTTTTGCAAAGGGAGACACGAGTATGTGCCAAAGGGGGACACAAATGACGGCTTTGCTTTGCTGAAAGGTTGCCTTTCCACTTTCAAGGCTGACAAGGGTAACCTCAACCCAACCACAAACCCACACCTTTCCTTGCCCACAACTTTAGTTTGCCAACATGTTCCACACTCCAGGGTTTCCAAACATGACAGGGCAAGACTTTGTCTGGGGTACCTTTCGCTTTGGAGGGCCACGATTTGTTTCTTCCTCCAATGGCCTGGGTTCAAAGCGGCGCCTATGTTGCCACTCGTGACCGAGGTTGGCTTCATCCTGTCTTCGGACCTGCCATGCACAAAGAACATCCAGAGGATCATCTCCGTGTTCGCCAACCGCACTGGACGCATTTGCCGCCTGGCATAAGCCTGTGTTGAACTGTTGCTTGCGTGGTGAGTGTCTGGTGTGCATTATTGGGCAACAGATTTCGTGTATGATGCTCCCTTTATATGATAGACCTTGATCAAAGCTTGGTTTCATTCATTCGAGCTTCCCAGGCCCCCTTGGCTTATACAGCCCACTCCCGAGCCGTTTTCTCAAAAATGAAACACACGCATCGTTTTGTTTGGATGGTGTTCCACTTTGGATGATCGACTTTCCATGTACGTAGGAAGTACCCTTTGGCTACACATCAAGCAAGATAGGTGGCAACGTAAGTTTTACAAACTGCACAGCCGTGATGTGTAGGAACGATGAGACTTCTGTTCGACACGCAGGGGTCCCTGACCCGCCGCAGTCATGCAGCTCGTGCCTCGCCCAGGGATGTCCTGGGATACATAATACTTGTGTAGGTATGGGCAAAAACAGGCATGTACTAGGATCAGCAACTACAACATTTAAGCTTTGGATCTATCCACAGTCAACGCGTTTTTGGTGTTGACTGGTGGCTTGCCCACTTGGGTGTGTCTACAAATAGGGGATGTTGCTGTCATGTATATACGTGACATACAGCCCTTGTCAGATCAGAGATACGCGCCGCTGCCCGGTCGCGTAAATCCCTTTGGGGTGGCACCGTGGCCAAGGGCGTTGGTAAATCCTCATTGGGGTGGCCTCAAGCATAAGACCCCCGGGCGGCTGCTCTGCACATGGCACAACAGAGCTCCCTGGTCAACCCCAGGGCCTACGGCCCCTCAGGAGCTTCAACGGCCGAGATGAGGACTGGGTGACCTGGGCATTCGTGGCCAGGAGCTACATGAACCTCCTGAGCATGGAGTTTGGAAACCTTCTGCTGCTTGCACCGTAGCCGCAACCGGAGAGATCGAGCTGAGCGACTTGAGTGAACTGCCAAGAGGGCCATTCGTGGACCCTCTTCAACATCCTCACGCAATCGGTGGAGGGTAAGGCTTTGTCAGTGATCATCAATGCTGAGGTTGGCAACGGACTTCAGGCATAGAAGATGCTGGTGGACACCTACAAACCCAAGGTTGGTGGCCGGTGTGCCATCATTGGCCCGGAGAAGCGGAAGAATGGGAAAGGATGGTCAGGCGCTACCAGGACCAGGCCAAGGAGGAGATCTCATCTTCAGTGAAATGTGCTGTCGTGATGAAGCACGCTCCTCCCAACATCAAGATGGCTTTGAGGACCAGCGGCCATCGGGACGAACTACCAGAAGCTCAAGAAGTGCGTCAGGGACTTCCTGCAGGCTGGAACTGAGTTCACAGTTCAAGGCATCGAGGCCAGAGATAACTCGGGTGCCTCGCCCATGGATTCCATGGGCGCTGGATGTGGGAGCAGTTGGATTCCTGCAGGGCAAGTCCAAAGGCAAAGACAAGAACAAGTCCAAGGACAAATCCGGGAAGGATGCCAAGGGCAAGTTCAAATTTGGCAAGAAGAGCAAGGACAAAGGCGTCAGCAAGAAGTTTGACGGTGAATGTGGTTACTGTGGCAAGCATGGTCACAAGAAAGCAGAAATCCGCAAGCGGGAGCTTGATTCCAAGCAGAAAGGCGAAGGCGGCAAGAGCGCTGGAGCAGTGGAAGCTGCTGGGAGCTCTACACCGCCTGCAGCGGGTTCGGCAAGCGCAGGGGCGGTGTACTACAACCGAAGGAGACCAATGCTGGATGGGTGATGAACATCAACAAGGGCAACACTCCTCGAACTGCTAAATGGGCAGATGTGGAAGATGATGAGGAGAGGATCTGTAGAGGTGTAAATTTACAGGGGAAGCATGCTGAGAAGTGCCAGCATGTGATGTATGACTCTGGATCGGATGAGCCCGTGGTGGACACCAACTTTGGAGTGCCGATCTATGAGCGGGAGTCTTCAGTGCAGCGGAACGCTTCAAATGGCAGCGTCCCTGGCGCAACCGACGCCTTCGGCGCCGAGGGGCAGCCGGAAAGGTGTGCGAGGCTGCGGCCTGGACCGGCGTCCCCAGTGGACCCCGCTCAATTTGGGCGTCTTTAGTGGATCCCGCTTTGTCAAGGCTCTTTTCTTCTGTTTTCCTCGACCGTCTAGAAGAGCCAAGGCGAGTTGCCGACGAGCCCCCAGGACCACAAGGAGAGACCTGCAGATGGACTACTCTTTCTTGAAGAGCGACGGCGCAGGTGCCACGGTGGAGGATGGAGGATGCAGCTGCGGTGGTACTCACGGTGGTGGATGTGAGCACAGGCTTAATGTTGGTGTTCGCTACATCCTTGTGCAAAGAATGCGGAGTCAAGCTATGTGGGCAAGATCGTGGCCAACTTCATTGTCCAACTGGGACAGACGGAGAGCCCGTCATCGAGCAGGTGATGAACACTCTCCAAGATGAAAGAAGAAGGCACCAAGGTACAGGATCCGCGGGAGCAGCCTAGGAGAACCAATCCAGAGCACCTTGAAGGAGATATATGATATTGAGATTAGCCCATGGATGACAGTGTGGCCGTGGGAAGTGAGGCATGCGGAGCAGGTGTGGCAGAAGACGCTCGGGAAAGACAACCTTTGAGGAAGCATTTGGACACTGCTGTAACGGCATCATATGTCCGAGACCGTTCTGTACAAGCAGCCAGTCCATCATTCAGGGAGGAAAGCAGCTGAAAGAAGGTGGAGGAAGGACACGATGAGCAATGGGTGACAGCGCTGGAGTCCCCATGCTCAGAACGGTGAGGAGGATGACCGCAGAGCTGAGGCACAACAAAGAACCATGTGGCAAGATCAAAGGAGTCCCGTGAATTTATGACTGAGATTTGCAGGAAGAGGAAATCAATCCAGTCAGCGAGAAGGAGATGAAGCCAGCCACAGAGGGAACAATCCCGCATCGGAGCAGGAGAACGAACCCAAGAAGTAGAGGCAGAGGAGGCCCAAGCAGAAGCAGAGAAGGCCCAAGCAGCAGCACAGAAGATCAACCAAACCAGCCCTCATCAAGCTCAAGACCAAGAGTGGTCGAGGTGGCAGATGACCCAACGGTTCCTGCACAGGGGCTGGCAAGATACCAACAAAGAAGCTGAAGCCTATGACCCTAATGATGAGGTGTGGTTTGATGAGCTGGAGTACAAAAATGTGCTGGAGGAGCCGCTCACTGAGGAGGCAGTCCCAGCAGCCAAGAAGGTCGATATCGACAAGATGAACACCTTCGATACCTATGAGGTGGTGGACGCCAGGCTGACCAATGGCAAACTGGGGCTGGACAGCGCCCCACAAAAGTCAATCTCAGGGAGTGCAAGAAGAACAGCAGCAGGACAGACGTCTATGCAGCGGCGACCACAAGTGTTACAGGGACGCCTGATCGGTGTGAGGTCTGGCTACGTTTTCTTCACAGGACGGCGTTTTGGCAAGTTCCCATCAGGAGTGCTACATGATTCCACCGAAGGAATGGTTCGAGTCGAAGAAGGATGAGCTTCATGGGGGAAGGTGATGCAGAAGCTCAAGAAGGAATGGTATGCTCGGCGTGTTGCACCAACGGAATGGGTGGAGTAGTATGCTGACATCCTCAAGGAGGAGAAGTTGGTTCAACAGTTCCTGGAGGATCAGCAAGAAGGCTGTGATGAAGTACCAGATCCACAGGTTGGGAGATACGTACAGCCAACTTAAGAAGGTCAGGACGTACACCAAGAAGGGCATCTGCGTTCGTCCAGATCCCAAGCACTTTGAGGAGGTGCTGATGCTGAGTGGCCATGGTCAACCTCTTGACAACCATGGCAACACTCTGCGGTCTGCAGAGGATTCCTGGAGCAAGCAGCGCGGCATGGATGATCATTACCTGCGTCTACGTGGTGGTGATCAGCAGCATAAGATTGGCAAGTGGTTCTGCGTGACAGGGAGCCAGCCAAAGACCTGGGAGGAGGAACCGAAGTTCAAAGATGCTGGAGCAGGGGGGTACAAGCCTTGGCATTGCTCTGCATCAATCCCTGCGGCAGTGTCTACCACACCAGGCCAGAGTGCCACTATTTGGTTGGTAAGACACCCAGCACTGTGCACAAAAGGGCTTGAGCCTGAGCCCAATAGTGGACAGGCAACAACGCCTGTGTCTTTTCCCCGTCGCCGTCCAAGGGGGGTGCAGTCATGTTTATACATGGCATACAGCCCTTTTCAGATCAGAAATACGCGCCGCTACAGAATTATCCTCAAAAAAGACAGACCCACGGAACCCCTTTGACGATAACCTGGATTGACCCAACATGGTCAAATGACACCAGTGGCCCCAGGCGTGCGGGTGCACGAGGAGGTGGAGCGGTGCAAGCAGCGTGTGAAGTGCTTGGAGCTGGGTGACTGGCTTGAGGCGCTTGCTTGCCCGATGGGTATAGGTGCTTGATTCCAGTTTGTTGCTCATTGACTCATCCTTGTTTGGCATGGCATCGGAGCGTGGTTTTGCATGTGCAAGGATGAGACTGGGAGTGCACTGGTGGGAGGCAGCCTTGGGAATTTCCGTTTTGAGTTTCGAGCTTGCTTGCGAACGACGCCGCTGTCCAACCCATTCAACAAACACCACTGACTTGCTGAATGGACATGATGGGGAGGCAAGAAAGCCGGGATTCACCAGTGGCAACAAGAATGCGGCAGGTTTCCGAATTCCACAGTTCCCATTTGGCAAAGTTTCCAGGATGCATGTTGACTACTATGCAAGGCCAAATGGTTGATGACAATTCCCCATGATTCCCCTTTTTGCAGCGGCTGAATGACCGTGTCTCTTGGCATACCGCTTAGGGGCTTGCAACTCCAGAGATGTCGAGCCGGCCAGGTGATCAGTGATTTGGATCAGCAAACCGTGACTTTCGTCGTGTGGCCGCAGGAGTAGGGGCTATGTCAGCTTAGGGATGTGTGGGCAAGAGTCTAAGCAACCCGAGAAATCTGGTAATCTAAGCAGGATGAGCCGCCGAGTTTTTCTGCAGATTCAACATGATTCATGATGCAGGCAAGAGAAGAATTGAGACATGTGAAAAAGCGAACCTTATCAATTGTATGATGAGTTGTGATGCCCGTGCGCTACTGCGCGTGAGTTTCTCGATCGGGCCGAAAGGATCTGGAACCTCAGAGAGTTTGCAGATGCTATCACAGTGAGGGGGCTTGCAATGGGATAGTAGTCAATTCAGTTGCCAGGAAACGATGACCCACTCAAGCCCCAGGCGCCAGATGTTTTCATCATGAACCGTGTGCAATACGCAGGTTTGTTGACTTGGCCGTGAGGCTGAAGCCGCAAGGTCCTTGGATGCGAGAACCCAACGGTGCCGCACATTTAGTTCTTGTCTCAACAGCACATCACTCGGCTTCTTGAAGCCATGGCAGAGTTATCAGCTTTGCCTGGAAAAGGCATGTACCGAAAGATGTTCACAAGAAGTCCCGTTCCAAGCATCCCCATGAAGCAGTGTCAAACGTGAGTTTGTTCACTCACACAGTAGACCAGCGCGGAAAGAAGTCACCAGATTAGGTGTGCTTGAATTTGAGTTTAACCAAACCGATGCAGCAGAACCACGTAGGACGAGTCGCCACCCACCTGGGCGACTGTTTCCTTCGGTGATGTGCTCGACAAGGCGGGCGGATGGAACCCTGGTCAAACTTGTGGTGATTTGAGTCTCCCTTTTGGGCCGGCATCGGTCTAGCACCAGCTTGATTCATCGCATTTGTCCTTTTACGGTTTGCTCATTTCGGATTATTTGGGTTTTACAGCTGTTGTGACTTCGGGAAAACTTTGGAAAACAACACAGCCCGGCAAAATCGGCGGCGTGCTTGCGCATCACAGTGTCACAGCCGGGCCAGGGGTTCGTTCGCACGGGTAGGACGACATTTCCAAGTCTTGAAGTGACAATTCTTGTGTATTGTCCAGGCAATGCTGTGTTTGCATGAAGCCTCTTTGGCATGTGTCCAAAGCCTGCTGCAACCCCCCTGGTTCAGTCATTGTGGGTGTCCATTCAAGAAGCGGCTTGCATTGCGGGCGCCGTTTAGCAGATCGTCGGCCGCATCAGTCAAATTTGACTCCAGATTGCATGGGTCCTTGAAGTTCGTCACTCATGAACCTGTCATTCATCTTTGAGTTGCCGCAAATCTCAACCTCTCCTCAAGATTTCCTGGAAGTGTCCAGTGCCGCAACACCAGGATTCGAGGCCAGATGGGACTCATTGGCTCACTGATTCCTTAGAGTTTGGACCTTTGCAATTGAATGACCATTTGCGTATGTTAGCCATTTGCCTCAACAGATGTACAGTCTTCCATTGTACATTTTGGGGAATTCCTCCTCCATGTTCATGGGTTGCCTCAACATTTTTCGTGGACGCCCAGTCAGACTGAGCGGTGCTGGAAGCCATGTCAACACATGTACCTGGACATGAGAAAGCCTGAAGCTCGGCAAGGCAACGGACACTTCACTGCTATAGTTTTAGGGTTCAATCGCTCTCCCCTTCAAAGAATGGCCTTGACCAAAATTACATGAAACTCCTGAAGGGTGAAAATAATGGTGGTTATGTGTTCCCCCATGCTTTTAATGGTGGTTTGTTCTTCAGGGTCTTTGCAGGAACTTCGTCCGACATGATCTTCAGCGAACTTTCTGCTTGAAGTCACCTTCCTTCCACCAGTTCTCTTTGCTCAGAGGGGTTCACATCATGGGTCCTGCATGAAAGTCCCCAAGATAACTCACAGCAGGAGCATCCAAAAGCGCGCAGTTTTGCAAACCCATCGTGTGAGATCTCAGGGCGGCTCGCTCGTGGTGTGTGTGTGTGTGTGTTGTTTTCCCTTTCTCTGCAATCTCCAGGCCCGGTCCCGCATCAGCAGCCTGCCGCGCTCTCCTTGCGGCGGCTGGGTATCTGGAAATGTAATTAGCCTTTGGAAGCAAGCTTATTTGGGCTGATTCGTTTGAGGATCGATCAATAATCTTTGGAATTGATTAGTCGGGGCGCACGGGGAGGGGGGGAGGAGGGAGAAGGGGAAGGCAGAGGAAGGAAAGGAGAGAAGGGAGAAGCAATGATGTAGAGGTATTCTTGCAGCAATGAATGACCCATTTCTCTAGAACACCATTATGTAAGCAATGCCTTCCAAATCTGGTCTGTGTGTTTTGTAGAAATTGCATGCTTTGAAGGCTTTGCTGTTGGTACTTACTGGGTGCGCAAGGGCCTGGGTGTCAGACAATTGAGTGGGGTGCTGTTGTGATGTGCGGGGCCAGACAGTCTGAAAGCCTTGGATCTGTTTGTTGGCTTTTTTGGCAGGCACGTTTAAATCAAAGTAGTATTGGACAAGTTAAAAGTAGTATGCACGTGCTTAAGTGCCTGTGCACGAACTGGCTATTCTGTTTTTTTTGGGTGTCACTTGAGGCCTGTAGACTGGAATTAGTAAAATTAGTATATTGTATGTAATTCAAAGCAAGCATTCGAATTGTCCGCTTGCCATTTGTTTGGCGGTTTCGTGTTCGAGGCATGGTATGTTCACCATTGCACCATCACGTGCTCACGAGAAGTCCAAGAGAGGACAAAAACGGCTTCCTGGGTCGCTTTGTGCCAATGTCCGACTTTCAAGACAGGTGTCAAGCCTGGCATATTAGAGCATGTTTCGGCCTACAAAGAAAACAACGTGGAATCTAATAAGCCCTTGTTTGCCGACTGAGCTTGCTATGGTGCGCAAAGCTGTACACTCCAAGCGGCTGGAGTTTTGCGTAGTTTGTTGAGATTTGACGATACTTTTTCCAGCACCAAGCTGTTCAGGTGACAAGAAGCTCATGCAATGACGTTGTTTGCAGTCGATTGTCCAATGTTAGCCCAGCGAGGAAAAAACTCTTCAAGTCAGGCTATGCAGTGTCACTTGAAGGACACGACAGCTGCCAAATGTTCTCGGGCGGGGAATGCGGACTGTTGGGCTGGAAGGATGCTATTCTGAATTGGGCCAACAGATCCATGCCAGTTGCCAGTACTCATGAATTATTGGATTTGCCTTGTTTTCTGAAAACATATAGGGGAACCCCCAAAATTGAGCGATTCACAACCTCCATTTCGGGGCACCCTGAAAAGAAGGCAGATTTCGGTTGGCTTTCCGGGGAAACCGAAACCACGCGACGCGCCATGTCCGGGGTTCAGATCTTGAGGCTACCTGGCAGTGGTTATGAAGCACATGGGCGTCTCCGTGCGCCTGGGCTCTTGAGGCTCGCCTTTTGTCTCGTCGGGGGAGAGGCAGATCTCCAACTTGATGACTGAACCCGTTTTCATAGTGAGTCCCATCGTAGAGTCTGGGTTCCCTACTCCCTGTTTTTGAAGTCCAGGTTGCCTGATATTTCCCCTTGACTTAAGTATCAACCGAAAGGGAATCAGTGAGTGTCCTTGTGACGTTGAAAGGGGAATTCCGCAAACCCTGAAGTCAAACCAAAAGCAGCAGAATGCACCTAGCAAATGGTCTTCCGGCCCCCAAGAGTTGGCATTTTAAGCAAGTAAAGCGGCTTGTAACGCATCCATTGAGGGTACAGGTTGCTTGTGTCCTTATTACTTCTACATTTATTTATGGGAGTATTTTTCGGTGAGGTAGCTTGTTTGGGCTTGTTCGAATTGGAAACCAAAGCAAAGCACCTCGATTTGGGTTTGCCCATTGTGCTTCGAACGCCGGCTCCCTGCTTGGCCAACACGGGGAGGGTCCAGATGAAGGGGGTCTCATGAAAAACCAGACCTAGAGACAGAAAAACCAGTCGCAAGTTCGAACATGTGCCACTACCTTGCCAGGCAGGAATGTGACACATTCAACGATTGATCAGAAAGTTGACCCGCAGTGTGTTCCTTTCCACATGGTTGTCCTTGGTGCTAGCAATCGGAAACCGTTGACTAGAACCCAAGGCTCCCCTCCGCCAGCGTTGCAGGTCCAGTCAAGCCGAGAGGCTGACCTGGCGTTGCCGGCAGAGGGCTGGTAGCGTGCTATTTCGGAGGCAGCCAAGCAGGACTCACGTGGAGGAAATCCACAGCTTCTTATTCCAAAGTGAAGAGCTCAATGGAAGCGGAACAGCATTTCATTTGCGAAGCTGAGTAGCTGCTTTGGGCATGATCATAGGCTTGTAATGTGGTTGAGGAGGCTGCGTTCTACTTGGATAGATTGTGCCAACCTAAGCAATGTTTATGTTTGCGGAGAAGAGGTGGGATGCTGTGAGTCTCAGAGAATCAAACGCAGTCGAGATTGGTTAACAGGTCGATGTGTTGTTGATTGTCAGTATCATTTGTTAGTATTTTGATTATTGGTTGTACTAGGATTATTATTATGTAGTATCATGTCTATTATGATTAGTATTATTATGATCATGTTATTATTAGTATTCTTATGTATTGTTAATGTTGGATTATTATTTTTGTTATTATCATTATTGTTATGTAGTGTAATTGTTGTTATTATTGTTATTGTTTATTATTGTTATTGTTTATTATTGTTCGTATTATTGTGTATTGTTGATATTAATACTATTATCATGTTGTTTACGTATTATTTTGAATATTAATATGATTATCATTATTATTAAACATTGTTATTGCGAATAGTATCATTATTAGTTTCATGATTATTATTATAGTTGTTTATTATGATTGTGTGTATTATATAATGAGTATTTTTATTATTGTATTTTTTTTTTTATTATTAGTGTTATCATTACTATTATTATGTATTGTTATTTTTATTATTATTACGAATTACTGCTGTGGATGGACAAAATCCTGCACCACCTAAGAAACCCTGGAATGATGATTCCCCTGTAAATACCAACAACCAATGGTTTCCCATGGTTGCAAAGTGGTGCAGGATTTCGTCCACCCGCAGTATGAGTATTAGTATTGTTTTTATGTGTTATTATTATCAGTTATTATGTTAATTTGTTTATTATTATTGTTATCTATGATTATTATTCCGCAGATTCATGGAGTGATTGGAGTGATTCCGATCTTTTGCACGGGGTGTTTTGGCCTGTGGATGGCTCAGCCACCTGGTCACTGCTGAATGGAGCTGTTGGGTGCTTCCGCGTGGGTCGCCTTGAAAGAAAGCAGCCTTGGATTTCGGTACGTGTGGTGACCAGCACCAGAGTCTGCAATTGCCCAGCAAGTCCGCTGCTCCTTTGAACGGCAAGCAGCCATTTTCCTTTGAGCGAAGCTCTGGGACCAGAACACATGTGGCCCCAGGGTTCGCGAGCCCCCGAGAGATACTCACCTGCACAGACCTGGCCGAGCTATGGCCTGACCGAGCTACGGCAAATGTGGGCTTTATCAACTGGCGGCCAGCTCTTCCATAGCAAGAACTGGCATCATTCCCTTGCCGCGACTTTGACACTTGTGCAAAACGAGTGCTTTTGTTGCTTGCGAGGAGTTTCAGGCCAACGGAAAGACATCATGCAAGGACATGAATGGACGAAGACACGAATGCACTAAGAGCTTGCTTCCAAGCCTTCTACCTTTCTGTTCGCTAAAACTAACCAGGAGAGCTGTTTGTTGGATTTGTTTGTGGATCAAATAGCTGTTGCCTTTCTGGTGCTTCACTTGCTCTTGGACCGGTATCCGTTCATGTTGTTTGATATTGTTTTATGTGTTTTTGTCTGACCCACCAAGGTGTTTGTCAAGGGGTAAGAGATTCCCAACAATCAGCCAGAGCTCGCTGTTTGCTCAAACATTGCAACATTCCC